GGTTCATTTCTGTAACTATTATTATTAGGTAGTAACAGTGCACCAATTCGAAGGTGTCCTTTTCTTTTAAAGTAATGTAAACATAACAAGGAATAAATGTTGTAGTTTCTGAATCAAAATTTTAATTTGATACATGATTAGAAAAATGCAAAGTTGTGGGAAGAGAAGCAGCTAAGATGTAGAGATATCGGTGTGTGTGTGTGTGTGCATACGTGCGTGTGTGTGTGTGGGTGTGAAGGCAGCCCGAGGCAGACGCTCTGCTGACCACAGCTACTAAATCAGCAACACAAAACCTGCTTTCCTCTCTGCGTTTCTCATTTTAAACTCGTGTACGCTTGCAGAACAGAGCCGTCTCAGCTCTGCAGCACCAACTTTGTTCTTTCATGTCGTATAAAAATCTTCTTATCGCACTCGGAGGAGAGCAGAGGCAGCTTCACATCACAGCAATTCCACCTGTGGTAACAGGGGAAAGGGTGGCAACTGAGTGCAGAGAAATGCTCAGATGGAGCCCAGCCCTCACTGACAGGAAGCCAAAAGGCCATCTGCGGCGCGGCGCCATTGTGTGTCTGTGCATTAAGTTATTATCTTATGTCCCACATGAATTTACAGCCAGCCTTAAGTTAGCTGGATTGAATGCAGGAAATATATCATCATGTGCGCTGTGTGGAGGACAAAGGCAGTTGATTTAAGTGGAAAATGGGAAGCAGCAGGTTTGGATTTCAGCTCAATACTTTATTAAATAATCAATATAGTAAACATCATCATCGTCATCATCATGAAAAAGGAAATAAACAACAAAAAAAAAGAAAAGAAATGAAACAGTCACATTTGTTTTTCTTCAAGTTTTCCCATCAACAGTATTTTCACTTTTAGAGAGACGCACACTTGAGTGGCTTTACAAAAGTCGCTCGAGGTGCTGCTTCATCTCGGTGCGACAGTTATAAAAGATGGCTGAGGAAAGTAACCATGGAAACTCAGGAGCAGCAGCAGCGGTGGAGGAGGAAATGGACTGGACAGTCACATGTTTATCTCTGGACTAACATCTGTCCACTGCTGGCACAGGAAACGACGCAGAAATAAAGTGAAGTTGTGGTGAACTTTTAACGTGTTGTTTTGCATCAGAGAGGACGCAGGCCGAGCCGGAGCTGCCTGCGACGACCGCTGCACGCACAATGGACGCCTTTGTGTCACCAGCTGGTGCATCGATGAGAAAAGCCTCTAACTCGATCAGTTCTTTACGAATTTAGCAACAAGACAGGGGCGAGCTCGGGTTTTAAAAAAAGAATCCAGATGACCACATCTAGCTTAGCGAAGTGACAAATGAAGCCTGGTGTGAGAGTGAGTCACATGACACGCTTTGATCTTTCAGGACTTTCGAAAAACGAGCTTTTCTGTTTCGTTAAATGTCTCTAGTGTTTCTGAACATGAGCAGACCATAATGTTGATCGTTACACCTGCAGCCATGAGAGACTTTAATACTGACGACATCGTGTTTTCTGTAACCAATGAGATCCAGTTTTAAATTACCATAGAAACTCATTTAAAACATCACACATATCCAACAAAAGCAGAAGTAAAAAAAGAAAGAAAGAAAAATATCTAAACTACCTGGCTGGCATGCATGCTACTACACAGCGACACTATTTGTTTTTGTTCATTTTTTCATTCTTAACAGCTCTTTTTGTTACACATCCTGGTATTTACATCATCAGTCTAAGGCGTGCCATTGAAATGACACACCAACCTACAGCAGCACTGAAATAACACAGCTCACAGAGCTGTGGCAGCTTAAAGGATAAGCAGTGATGTACTTTCCAGATTTCTTAGTGTCAACAGATCAAATAATTATTGATACGCAGCAGCTTAAACACAAACACATGCTGCTTAATTTAATGAACATAGGCACTGTAGTTTTTCTAACTCGAACCCTGCAGCTGTAAATTCCCCAACTCATTTCCTCCTGTGTCATTGATGTTTGCTATAAACTAAAGTTCCCACCCTTTTTTCATAAAATAAAAGTATACATTCACGTCCCGTCTTCAGTCAGAACCAGCGTAAAAACCCAGTCTGATGCTTGTTGACAGTAAGAAAAATAAAGAACAATACCAGACTTATCTTTTAAGTCTTTTGTAACATTGTTCACAAACGGCCAAAGTCTCCTGCAAAGAGCCACCTGAAATATTCTGCAACTCTCAGTTGCCAAAGTCCCAGACGGAGGTCCCATCTACAGAGCGAGGTCCAAACTGCACTAAATGTCGTGTTTTATCACGGTTAAATCTCCGGAGATGTCACAGGCATCGCGTGTCCGCCGTCAGTCAGAAGCAAGAATCCGTTCGGGACTCATATCGGGGGGTTTTGATTGAATAAAACAGAATTACAGTTCCAGCTAAAAAGCGAGTTAGTTAAGGAACAGCTATACAGTCCAGCTGCCGACTGATTGGACAGATGTGCAGAAAAAAGGGGTGGGGGAGGTGATGCCTTTTTGTTTAGGGTCAAATTCTAACGATCAGGCTGATATGATCGTGGTTCTGTGCTGTGTCTGTGCTGCTACAGAGAGTGAAGAATGGGCCACGTGTAAGAAAAAGGCCTTTTTCATTAAAAGAAAAGGGTCGCGATGTGCTCCTCTACTCCTCTACTCCTCTACTCCTCTACTCCTCGTTTCTTGCTGATGTCAATGAGATGATTTAATTATCACCCAGGTCTGCACGAGCTGCATGGTGGAAGCAGATGTTGCCCTTAACTTTGACCTGCATGCACACGCAAACACAAACCAAGCCGGTGCCAACACACTGGCCCATTCTGCCCTTCCTCGTCCTGACAATGGCTGGCGGGTGCGGGGTGTCAAATCTAATGAAACAGGCAGGGAACAACAGCTGAGTGTGTGTGTAGGGAGGGGAGAGGCAGGAGGGGGTGAGTTAAGACACAAGTGTCCTTGTTAGAGAGGAAACCAGGCCGCAGTGAGAGCTGCGCTGACCTACAAGTCCAAAATGGCTGCTGGTCAACGCTGTAGAGAAAGCGATGTTTCACTTCTCGACTCTCCGAGCGTGACTCACCGCAGTCGCTCCTCTCAGGCTGGTGTGAGCTCATGCGAGACCCCTCAGGAGAGCAGAGAGGCTCGACTCCAGTAAGGTTGGATGAGCTGGAGTAGGCGGTGGGGCAGCCTTCACTTTGTCAGAGCTTGGCTTGAAGGCTTCACTCGAGGGGAACTGTTTGCTTATTTCTCCATGTTTTCATCCTGGGTTCCCTCTCTCTGTTTGATTGGGCTGCAGGATTAGAAGTGGATTACCCAAGGAGAATACATGTGCAACAGCCCGTCTGCATGTGTGTAAAGCTCAAATCTGTTGCGGGGATGCTCGTGTATCGTACGACCTTGTGGCCGAGAATATAGCGAAGCATCACAGCAAAGTGATTGCCACGTGGAGAAGGGAGGTGGAGCACCAAAACCTCCAGATGCCCTGCTACAATAAGATTAAGGCATTTCCACTTCACACAATAAGAGATTTTTATGTTTTAAACAGCTTCTTGGTTCAAATTCATCATAAACTCCCTCAAGAACCCAAAATAAGGGTCACAGGAAAGACTCTGAAGGATCTTGAGGTGATTAAAAGAGGAGGAGAACAAAAAGATATCTTTTTTCCCACAAACAGTTGCTTTCTTTATGTAAATGACTTACATTTTTCTTTTAAAAACAAGTTTTACAATCAGACAACATACGCATCAGCGATGAGTCACAGACACACATTTAATTTTTAAAGGAGCATAAGCCCAAAATAAGTTGGGAAGCCTCTTCATTTTTCTCCCCCAAACCCTTTAAATATGTGAGTTTATCAACCTTGATTAAAAAATCTAAAAGAATCCATACGTCTAGCGTTTTTCTGAAAATTGGAACATTTGGCCTTTAATCGAGCTTTTATTGTGCTGTCAGCATTACGAGATGTAGCTCTAGTTCACGGCGGCCATGAAGTCAAGCTCAGCCGCAATCTTGGCATATTAGCTGATTTTGACATCAGCCCAGATCAGCTGATTGCTCAGCCGATACCCTTCTACAGAGCCAACTTGCTATCTCATATAGGGCAAGTCACTTTGCAACCCACTTCCACCCCAGCTCGTCCCTCCATGCTGTGTCTGACTTAATAAATATCACGTCTGCTGCCGCTGCTCTGTTCTCAGCTGGGTCTTGCAGCTGCTCTCCCTTCCTCTGGCTTCCCCTGCATGCATGTAAAAGAAGAGAGAGCTCCCAGAAAAAAATAAAAAGCCACCAAATATAAATTACTGTAGAATCAAATCTTCTTATGACTACAGTGGTTCAAATGCAGTTGATAAGCCCTTAAAATCTAAAAACGACGAACTTGGAGCTCATCTGTGACCCATCACTGACATGCACAGTAACACACACGAGGACCAGGGATTAAAGCCACTGGAGCACAAATGCCAATGGCTTCATTCAAGGGAATAGTCGAGCGGAGGGAGGAACATGAGAGAAATGAACTCCCAGTTCCTGAGAGCCTCTTGATGGCAGATGAGGATGCGCAGGTGAGGGATGAGAAAGTGGGACAAATTCAGAAGCAGCAATAACATTTCTGTCATTTCTGCCTGGATGGCCTCTGGAAAGATTTCCTGCCTCCACCTCGGACCCCGAGCTGCACACGTGTGCCGCACATTCACGCAGCATGGAGAATAAAGCACACACAGCAAAGTATTTTAATGTGTGTGTGTGTGTCTATAGTCCTGCCCAGTCCTGCCTGGGCTGGATTAGCCACTGAAGGTCTGCAGGGCTGTGGACCGGACAAGAAGGGGGGAGAGGTTGACGTAGGGGAGGGGCAGCAGTAATCGGCTAATCTCATTAATACCACGGCTGTGGGTGCCCTGTCAACAAGACGCAGGGAACAAAGGATGGGGTAAACAGCTGATGACCTTGGCTGCCGTCCAGCGCACGATGCCTGCGCGCACGGCCATGCGTGCGCTCGCACCAAACATGCCCACGGTAAACGCATGTTCGGCTTCCTCCTCGGGGTTAAATGAGACTTTAACACACGGGGTGGAGCCGCTGGCAGGTTTGAGTGAGTGAAGGGAACAACAAACAGCAAGTGTTCCCTCAAAAGGCTCCACAAAAACACACTGCCTGTTCGTTTTGTTCTACTGAGCAAACATGGACGTCTCAGCTGTTCCCGTCAGTCTGAACCGCGGGCACATGAGACGGCGGAGGATGTCAAGATGTTGCTTTGTATTATCCATGAAATTTTCATGTGGACTATGTTGTCTGAGCCCTATTTTCTCTCCTTGCCTTGTGCATACAGATCGATAATGTTAAGGTGAGGCTGTGCAGATACAGAGGAGTAGCTGGGACGACTGGGACCAGACACGGGAGGGAGCAGGTGGACCAAATGGTTAAAGTACCTCACAAACAGCTGTAAGCCCCACTCAACCAGTTATCTGTGGACGGATGGGACAATGGCAACAAGCACAAATGCAATGATTCAATACTTCTGTGTAATTCTTTTAAGATAGGCCTTCATAGAAGAAAAAGGGGTGGAGCAATCTGCATGACAATTATGTGTGTGTGTGTGTACGAGTGCATGAGTGTACACAAAGGCATGTGGTCAGCGAGGATGGGTGCTCACCGATCAAGCACCCGGCTATAATCCTGAGGGCCGCAGCCTCCTTCGCTCTTGAGTTCAGCAAATACTTGTGTGAAAAAGTGCGGGTCTGCATTGATGCGCAGCATCTTGGAGCTTGTGGCGTCGATGATGGCGAGGCAGCGGTCCCAGAAGGCCTCCTTGCCCGCCTCTACCAGGAAGGGCTTAAGAGGGTATGAGATCTCATTGCCCATGTAGGAGTAGGACAGGTAGAGGCAGGTGAGCAGGATGGCCTGCAGCTCGTGCTCCGACGCCACTAGATCACCATCCACTACGTCTCGGCACAGCATGTAGACGAAGACCACGTTGGCCGGAGTAACGAAGGCCTGGTCCTGCCAGCCCTGCAGCAGCAGCGAGCGGTCCACAGCCCGCAGCCAGAGCACCGGATCGGCCGGAGACAGATGCTTCAGGCGGTAGCAGCGACAGCACAGGAACTCCCCCAAACAGCGGAGGAGCTCGCTGGTGGAGGCCTGGACGATGACGCGCTTCGGAGACGAGGTCACCGTGCCCTGGGGGACTTTTTTCACAGAGGAAAGCTGCTGGGATTTGGTGTAGCCATATCCATGTCCCTGACCCATCCCCAGTCCGTAGCCGAGCCCCAGACCCAGACCGGCTGGGCCCTCGTAGCTGGACAGGTTGGCACATGACAGCGACTTCTTCACATTCTCACGGTTGAGGTGCAGCACGGGATCCTTCTGGTAGATGTTAATGTTGTTGTTGTTATTCAGAGGATCCCCGAGGGCCACCGGGCCACCGGAGCCTTTCTTCGAGTTGCCCTTCTTCTTTGTAGAGGCCACAAGTCTCTTCCATGTGAGTGCTGGGAGGAAGATGGACTGGCCCCTCTTTAGCCCGCGGTCTTTTTGGCTGTTGAGGGAGCGGCTGCTGAGGCTCGGGTAGTGGCTGAGAGAGCCGGGACGGTTGTCATAGTAGCCTGATTTGCGAGAGCTGGGTGATAACGATAGTACGGTGCCCATGGTGAGTCAGTCAGTGCTTCACAGATTATACTGCCTCACTGGTGATGAGGAGGAAGTTTTTCCTTTTCTTTTATTCTAAATATCCAGGAGGTGTGATCTCATGAAGAGGTGAGTAGTGCAGGCATGTCAGAGAGTGCTGAATGACAGAGAAAAAAAAAGGGAAAGAGTTTAATCTAATGCAAAGTAGAACGTAAACAAAGCCAACTAATCCCACAAACACATCATCTACTGCCAAATGACCCGGTGGCTGACTGTAACCTCTTTAAGCTTATCTTGTGCAGCCAAAAAAGGACTCAACTGTGCATTGAATTTTAGAGGAGATCCCAAAAGCGCCTCCAACATCCTGGAAATGTTGGGTAAACATCATGAATTTTTGCAGTAATTAAACCATTTTGGGATAAAAAATTCACTAAGACTAAACATCTCTGGGGAGCTAATTGAAACTGCTGGTGCAACGCTTTTTTAACGTTTAACATATTTAGTCAATGTGGATTAACACCAGTTGTTTCGACCCTTAAGGGCAAAAAGCTCACGGGATAAACTGGTCTGTAAGGGGTTAACCACCAGTCTAATTTAATCTCCCTCCAGATTTGTGGATTTTAAACTATTAAAGGGGTTCCTCTCTTAATCAGCAAATGCTTGAACCAACATGGTGAATATATAGCACAGTGAGCACAGAATGCACTTCAGGCTGTTTACAGAGCTACATCTGGCTCTTCCTTGCTTTAAACCTTCTCTTTAGTTCAAAGAGATGAAAAATGTGACAGCAGAACCAGAAATGTACATGACTGTCCTCAGAGCTGCTCACCTGCGTTTACGCGCAGTCCAGGTACGAGATGATTGCCCGCTTGTGCGTTCCTGCCGCAGTCCGCGACGGTGCAAAGATGAAGACATAGGCTATAGGAGCGCAACACATGCACTGATTTTGCAGCTGCAGAAAATAACCAAGGACCAGAGAGAGCGGGACTGTGATCTGAGTGCAGAATGAGAGGCAGAAAGTCACTCTCGCAGAAGCTTTGACCTACTATTCAAAGATGCCAAGTGTGGTCCGCGCCAAGGGGGGTGCAGGTGTCATCCTCTGCTGCACCTCAAAAGAAGGCGAATGTGAAGCGTGACCGCATTCCGATTAATTGTCTGTAATTTGCTTTTCCACGAGAAAAACGTAAACTTTCACGGAGTCGGAGTCCTTTCAATGCATTCCATCTCCTCAGCAGAGCTGTGCGTAAAGTCTCCTCTGTCTGACTTCTCCCGGTCCCGGGGTCGGACTGAAGGCGCTGCTGGAGTGTCCGCACACTACGAGCTTCAGTCACCTAATGACCAAACGTCGGTCGCGGTGGCCAGACCTCTAAGAGGACTCTCACACATTAGAGACAGAGCAGCCAGTGAGCTCACGGAGCGGCTCGGCACACACCGCCCCCCTCCGACACAGACTCCTCCTAACAGCGCTCGACTGCCGCACACACACACAGCGTACACATAGTATCTGCGCAAAAAATACATGTTTATATCAGAAAACAGGCTATAGTATAAGTCATATAAGTTATAATTATTCAAATAAATACAAGTGACGTTAAAATATAACAATTCAAGAAACATAAAATAACCTACTGTGCAATTTACGAAATTATGCAGAAATTAAATAAGTGCAATAAATAATATATTTTTAAACTATACGGATAAAATACTTAATTAAAAAATTATGGGTATTAAAATTTAGGCCGCTGTAAACTAAAAATATTTAAAACTTTTTGAGATAACATATTCAACACACGGTCCATTAAGTAGCTCTTCTGGAGGCTTTAATTATATGTCGTGATTTTTATCAGTGATGCTGCGCTTTGACACAAGCCTAAACCTTCTGAGTGTTTTCTCAGGTTGAATTTGTGTGTTCAAGATATCTGAAATTTGTGATGACGCTAAATTGCAGAGAAACAGCAGCACAGCAAGGCAGGTGCTACTTTATTGGTCTATGTGGCAGTGCAGGAGCAGCTGTAGTATTATTTGTTTGTAAAGCAACATTTGCACAAATGTTGTTGCCAACTCGCAAAGCAGCACTTCACCTGCTGAATGATGGGATTGTCTAATAAATGCTCTCAGCTACATAAAGCGCAAATGGTGCAGAATGCATTCGGGCCAATAAAGGTGTAATGACTTGAATGAAGTTGTATAATAGTCTCCCAGAAGCCTGGAGAAAAGTGTACCGGAGGAAGAGGGGGCCTAAAATTATCGGTTGGTGTTGACTTATAGGAACATTAAGGCAAAATCGTTAGATTAAATGTCCTCCTCACAGATATATGCACACGAAGCACATCCTTGAAGCCTTTGCTCCTGTTTACTATTTTTATTCTATTTTTCTGCCTTGTTTTTGCTGCAGTGCGATTCCTGCTGGTCATGGTAATCTTTTTCGTGACATTCCTCAGACGAATAACCCTTTGGACACAAATCAAATCACAGAGAAAATGAAATATCAGATGATGATGATGAAATGACAGTGAGTAACCTATACCTGCGAGGGTTTACTGTGGGTTACAGTGAGTAAGCCTCCCTCACGTGGAGGTCTGATGGTATTATGCAACCGTCTTCATGTGTCCATCCTGTATTGCGGGTCATTTGTCAGCCTGAGCTGTTGCTCATAAGAGGATCAGATACATTGTTTGGAAGGAAGGATGATAAAATATCTTCGGTTCTTCTACTGTTTTGGATCTATGTGTGAGGAAACGAAGTCACGTGCAGAATAACTTGTACAGTTTTTGTCTATCTTTGTCATGAAGCCACGTGCTGTGAAACCAAAGGTTTTTTTTAGTGCTTGCCAGTATTAAACTAGAACAAAGATATAATTTACTAAAGCTTTAGAAATCTTGAATAAGTATTGTTTTTAGATTTTGTAAAATCCCATTGAGTCTTATTACCAACTTCCTAATAGTCACAACTGCAGAACGAATGCCTTATTAACTTGTTTTACTGCTTCCTTTTATAACTTTGTATCTTTAAATAAAATAACAGCTCTGCAAAAACTTAGCATTCATAATGCATTGACCACTGAATACAACAAAATATACCTGCAACCTGAAAATGTGTTTAATTTTGTCTTTAAAAAGATTTCCTGTTGGAAAGTGCTTCCGTGCATTTGTTTACCTCACTCTTTAATTTTCCATGCCAGGGACTCAGAGGCTTTCCCTGGCACTTTGGCATCAATGGAAAGCTCAGGACTTTCTGGGAAAACAGAGGATAAATTTAGACTGTATCTCAAGGATTCCTCGGAGATGAAGGATTGCAGGAAACCAGAGTTTTAAACAAGTAATAATAGGCCAAAGAGATAAGGAGGGACTGTGCAGAGGACGGGAAGAAGCAGGCGGGAGATAAACAACAGAGGAGTGAAGACAAGACAGAGGTGAAGTCTTTGGAGTTTAGAAACACTGGTAGATGTTACTGTAATGTGACCGCATATTTGGAGAGAGGTGATTTTTTTCCTGGTGTGGTGTAGGTTTTTTGTCCCCTTAGATTAAATTCTATTTCTTGCGAGCCACATCTGTGTGTCCCGCACACTGACCCGTGTGTGAAATTAGGATTCAAACATAAATGGGTATACATCAAACCAACAAACACTCTTTGATAAACTCCCCATCAGAAAACTGTTCTTTGGCAGTTGTGGGAAATCACAATTCAGTTGTTGCTTTTGTTTGACTGATATTTTTTAAAGATTTATATAACTTATGTGTGTAAGCGTCACTGTAAATGTCTTGGACCTGATGTTTATGAAAAGCATGTGAGATTGCAATTCCCAGAAGATGTCAGCTCACATGAAAAAGAAGAAAGTGCGCTTTACCTCTACCAGCTTTGTGATTTTCACAATCACACAAAATACACTAAACCGTTTTCTAATGGGGGAGTTTATCAAATAGCCTTTGGTGGACTTTGATTTTATTACTCTTCACCTTCCATGGTGAAGAGTAATAAAACAGATCAATGACAATGGAGGAAATCTGGAGCTTCAACTACGACACATCCCAGTTGCTTATCTTTGCACACGGGATAATGAAAGTTTGAAACGAAGCAGGAGCTGGCAGCAATGTGCTCAATGAAAGGCGCTACATCAAGGAGTGATTTGTTCACAGAAGTAAGTGCATGAAATAGGCAAACTGGCAGGTGTTACAAAAGATGGCTGTTCAAATCTGTCAGGAAAAAATGTTGCTATTAAGTGGAATGAACCCAAAAGTGGTATTTTTGTATTTCGTATTTTCACAGGCAGGTGCTGTGTGAGTGTGCTCTTGTTGTAACTAAAATGGTTAACTTCATCAGGAAAAGATCGCTGAATCACAGTTTGAAGTTTTGGAGGAGCATGGTGACATAGGCTGCCACACAGCTGTCAGGTGGCTCCGCCTGGGCAAAGTGCTAAAAGAGTTTGGGACCTGAGAGCAAAAATCTGAGAGCTTCATAAGAAAAAGGGGGAAAGACATTCGAGATCTGAGATGCAGAACGGAGGGCAGATCTTTCATTTGTTGTTAATGTAACTGCCCTTCACAAATCCACCTCAGACACTGAAGCTGACTTTAATTCACGTGTTCAAGCCCACAGCAGACTAGTCTTATCTCACTGAACAAGAAAACAGGATAAAAACTGCAGATGAACAAGCAGAGTAACATCAGGTTCCTTTTATATTCTGACTAACCTGCTTCCATGAAGAAAGTTAATCAGAGTGTAAAACGCTCCCTGCTCAGGTCCAAATATAAACACATGAGATAAATTTAGCTGCCGACCACTCTATCATCCAATTAAAGGTGTGAATAGCGCTACAATCCTGTTTACAGTAAAAAGATTTAGCCCTGACACAGAGGTTTGTAACTCTCACCAAGTTCAAACAAATATTGAACTGAAATATTGAATCATTCAATAAAGCATTCAATAATTTATCTTGTTATAAGGCCAGTGAATGTTTGCTTGGCGATGAGAATAAAATCAAATCATATGTTTGTACGCCAAATACGGCCTGTATCATCCACTGTCCATAATCGCAGTGAATGGAAAAGGACGTCATGAGTGCACAGATGGGGAGTTTTAACATATGAGGAGTTCAATCTTTTCAAGGACGGCTACATCAGAGAGGAGAGTAAAGCAGCTAAATGAGATCACCTTGATGTCTTCAAATCTGTCAAACAGACTCTTCATTCCTTCCCTCCGGTGGTAAAATCCCCCAGCTCAGCATCTCTGAAGGACAAAAATCCCCCAGAGACGGTCAGGTCAACGGCACCATCGCTTCATTTAATGAAAGCAGATCTCAGCTTTTCCTCCACTAGTGTTTAAAGTTCCAGTGTTTAGGTGCCCCAACTAGAAGATAAGACACATGGTAGTTACATTTCTAAGAGGTTAATTAGATCTTTTTCCAAAGACTGAATATAAAAGAACTGAATAATGGTGAAAGGGATAACCATAACAAAGGACCTCTCAAAAGTTCTTTTGGTTGAAACCACTCACCTGATTGATCATGAATCACTTTTGAACCTTGCAGAATGCGTCTAAAAGCTTGTTTGGCAGCTTCTCTAACAAGCTGTCGCAAAAACAGCCCTCCACTGTATTTATTACTGACTCATCCTCCAGAAGAGTGAAGGCTTAATAAGATAAAACTGTGCACTCGCAGCATCTCTTCATGGGTACGGCAAATGTTCACTGACGCATGAAGGATTTTGTGTTTGAAAACAAGATTTTAAAAAACAAAATCCTGACCCACTCGGCCCATCACATAAAGAACAAATGCTTTATAAGAACCAAACGAAATAAACTACATAGACGTATTAAAGGAATAGTGCAACATTTTGGGAAGAAGCTTAATTTGATGTTCCCTCTGAAGTCTGAGCCCACTCTCATATCGAAACTAGTTAGCTCAGCTTAAAGACTGGAAACATGTGAACATGTACATGTAAAGTTAAGCATCATTTTTCAACATGCAATGATATTTTGAATATTTAAACCAA